GGAACGAAGACCGTATACTTCCTGGAAATCGGAGGATGTATATGGAAAAGTAGGTTTAAATAAATTATGCATACCCGGATCTTTAGTATCGCATGACAAACCAGTTTTGAAAAACAAAAATGGTGGTAATTTGACGTAACAGATATTATCAATGCTAAGATCATATTTATGTCTGAAATGACACAGCATTCGTATAATATTTTACGTGATTCGGTTTACATTGTTGATATAATACGATAAAATGACCCAGCTTTATACTCTGTTCAATACCCACAAAACAGGTATGTGAGAACAATATAACCTGACGTACAACAATGACAAAAACTACATCGACTAAGCCCCAGGGAAAGGACAGTGCCACCCAATTGAACTTTTGATTACAATGACATCATGATCATTCCATAGCACTTCATGGTGAAAGGAGTATTCCAATACTAATTCTGTTAAGCCCAGTACAACACTGAAACATAAGTAAATAGTGCAGATAAAAGGAATCCCTCCTGGAGATTTGTCTTGACATTTTTTCATGCGTACGTTTGTAGTTCTCTTTTTATATTTGTTAAGTATCTGTTTATTATCTAGTTTTAAACAAACGGCTTGTCGCATGATTGGTCATATATAGCTGATGTCATATATAGCTGATGTCATACACAGTTGTCATATATGGCTGATGTTATACACAGTTGTCATATATAGATGATGTCATACACAGCTGTCATATATATATGATGCCATACACATTTGTCATATATAGCTGATGTCATACACATTTGTCATATAAAGCTATTTTCATACACAGCTGTCATATATAGATGATGTCATACGCAGTTGTCATATAAAGCTGATTTCAAATACAGCTGTCGTATATAGCTGTTGCCATACATTATTCATATATAGATGATATCATACACATTTGTCATATATAGCTGATGTCATACACAGCTGTCGTATATAGCTGTTGCCATACACAGCTGTCATATATAGCTGTTGCCATACACAGCTGTCGTATATAGCTGTTGCCATACATAGTTGTCATATATAGCTGATGTCATACGCAGTTGTCATAGATATATGATGTTATACACAGCTGTCATATAAAGATGATGTCATATACATTTGTCATATATAGCTGATGTTATACACAGCTGTCGTATATAGCTGTTGCCATACACAGTTGTCATATATAGATGATGTTATACACAGCTGTCATATATAGATGATGCTATACACAGCTGTCATATATAACTGTCATACACAACTGTCATATATAGTTGATGCAATACACATTTGTCATATATAGCTGATGTCATACACAGCTGTCATATATAGATGATATCATACGCAGTTGTCATATATAGATGATATCATACACAGATGTCATATATAGCTATTGTCATACACAGTTGTCATATATAGCTGATGTTATACACAGCTGTCATATATAACTGTCATACACAACTGTCATATATAGTTGATGATATACACATTTGTCATATATAGCTGATGTCATACACAGCTGTCATATATAGATGATATCATACACAGATGTCATATATAGCTGTTGTCATACACAGTTGCCATTTATAATTGATGGCATAAACAGATGTCATATATAGCTGATGTTATAATACACAGTTGTCATATATAGCTGATGTTATAATACACAGTTGTCATATATAGCTGATGTTATAATGCACAGTTGTCATATATAGCTGATGTTATAATACACAGTTGTCATATATAGCTGATGTTATAATCCACAGTTGTCATATATAGCTGATGTTATAATACACAGTTGTCATATATAGCTGATGTTATAATACACAGTTGTCATATATAGCTGATGTTATAATACACAGTTGTCATATATAGCTGATGTTATAATACACAGTTGTCATATATAGCTGATGTTATAATACACAGTTGTCATATATAGCTGATGTTATAATACACAGTTGTCATATATAGCTGATGTTATAATACACAGTTGTCATATATAGCTGATGTTATACACAGTTGGCATATATAGATGTCATGCAAAGTTGTCATATATAGATGATGTCATACACAGATGTCATATATAGCTGTCATACACAGATGTCATATATAACTATTTTCATACACAGCTGTCATATATTGTTATCATACACGGCTGTCGTATATAGCTGATGTTATACACAGCTGTCTTATATAGCTGATGTCATACACAGCTGTCATATATAGCTGATGTCATACACAGCTGTCATATATAGCTGTCATACACAGCTGTTATATATAGCTGATGTTATACACAACTGTCATATATAGCTGATGTCATACACAGCTGTCATATATAGCTGTTATCATACACAGCTGTCACATATAGCTGTTGTCATACACAGCTGTCATTTAAAGCTGATGTCATACACAGCTGTCATATATAGCTGATGTCATACACAGCTGTCATATATAGCTGTTGTCATACACAGCTGTCATATATAGCTGATGTCATACACAGCTGTCACATATAGCTGTTGTCATACACAGCTGTCATTTAAAGCTGATGTCATACACAGCTGTCATATATAGCTGATGTCATACACAGCTGTCATATATAGCTATTTTCATACACAGATGTCATATATTGTTATCATACACGGCTGTCGTATATAGCTGATGTCATACACAGCTGTCATATATAGCTGATGTCATACACAGCTGTCATATATAGCTGATGTCATACAAAGCTGTCACATATAGCTGTCATATATAGCTGATGTCATACACAGCTGTCACATATAGCTGTTGTCATACACAGCTGTCATTGAAACCTGATGTCATACACAGCTGTTGTATATAGCTGATCTCATACACAGCTGTCGTATATAGCTGATGTCATAAACGGCTGTCATTTATAGCTGATGTCATACACAGCTGTCATATATAGCTGATGACATACACAGCTGTCACATATAGCTGTTGTCATACACAGCTGTCATTTAAAGCTGATGTCATACACAGCTGTCATATATAGTTGATGTCATACACAGCTGTCGTATATAGCTGATGTCATAAACAGCTGTCATTAATAGCTGATGTCATACACAGCTGTCATATATAGCCGATGTCATACACAGCTGTCATATATAGCTGATGTCATACACAGCTGTCATATATAGCTGTCATATATTGTTGTCATACACGGCTGTCGTATATAGCTGTTGTTATACACAGCTTGTCATACACAGCTGTCATATATAGCTGGCATACACAGCTGTCATATATAGCTGTCATACACAGCTGTCATATATTGTTGTCATATATAGCTGATGCCATAACTGTACCTCCAAGTTTATTTTTCTCGTATGCATGCTACCCAGTCGACAGACAATTAAGCTGTCTGGTGGTGAGTTCCCATTGTTACAGGACGGGTGTTGACAGTTCTGTAGCACAACTGTAACGACACGGGGGGCTTTATGTTGTGACTAATGTGTGGATCCAGACTTTGTCACGACTCCACCCGGAAACGACGGGCTACGCTCATTAAAAACTCACAATGTAAATTTGGGTTACACCCGTGGTTGTCATACTGAACCTACCCTAAACCTACCCAAGCGTGACTAAATAGAGCGTGTTTCAATAAAAAAGAATTTACGCCTTTTCAACGTTTTGAAGATATATATAAACCTCTAGAACAAGGGTTTGGGTGAGCAGAGACGTGTATATACTACATGGCTGTTAGATAAGCAGCCCCAGAGACGTGTATATACTACATGGCTGGTAGATAAGCAGCCCCAGAGACGTGTATATCCTACATGGCTGTTAGATAAACAGCCCCAGAGACGTGTATATACTACTTGGCTGTTAGATAAGCAGCCCCAGATACGTGTATATACTACATGGCTGTTAGCTAAGCAGCCCCAGAGACGTGTATATCCTACATGGCTGTTAGATAAACAGCCCCAGAGACGTGTATATACTACTTGGCTGTTAGATAAGCAGCCCCAGAGGCGTGTATATACTACATGGCTGTTAGACAAGCAGCCCCAGAGACGTGTATATACAACATGGCTGTTAGATAAGCAGCCCCAGATACGTGTATATACTACATGGCTGTTACATAAGCAGCCCCAGAGACGTGTATATAGTACATGGCTGTTAGATAAGCAGCCCGAGAGACGTGTATATACTACATGGCTTTTAGATAAGCAGCCCCAGAGACGTGCATATACTACATGGCTGTTAGATAAGCAGCCCCAGAGACGTGTATATATACTACATGGCTGTCTCTGGCAGTTCAAAGCAACAGGCCATGTACAACTGTGACACCACGAGCGTCAAACCTAGATTCATTGGTCTACTTGTTCTATTCATCGCATTAAAAATATCAAAATATATTATCACACTGACGTAATACTCACAGGCAATGCGTCTGTCTAAATGTAACACTCGAAGTATCTACATTTAAATTACATTTAAAGTGAACCGTTGCTGCCCGGACTTTGGAACAAGGAACACTGAGGCACGATATTTATACAAATCACCATTGCACAAAAAAATACATATAGATTAAGTAAATGTCACGGTTGCCGAACTCCAGTGTTCATGACCAGTCTTCTATAACACTTCCTCGTGCCATGTGTGTATACAAAGGCGGTGCAAAAGTCAAGATTATCCAAGTTAAGTCTTTCCAAAGGCGAAACGTTTATCAAAACCATCAATGCATGGTCTTAATATCACGGAACACCATATTTTCTAGTTATAAAAATAGAAAACCTGTATGGCCCGATAGATGTTATGAATGTAATTGACAGCGCAGACATCTTAAGTAATCAATACACCACACCTGTGATAACTGGAGGCCATTTTAACCTAAACCTAGTCGATATATCACTAGCACTGATATACGGTTTAATAAAATCCATAAAGGATTATATATGTTTTCACCACCACCTGTAAAACTGGACAGGTCGACCACGCCTTCCTTCAGGTGTGTGGCTGTACGTGTTCACACTACTCACCTTGTAGGAGGAGGAGTAGAACCAGGAGGGACAGCGAACATCCCGTCAGGACTCCTCCCATGTTATCCCCGAGGGACCGTCTTAATCTGGCTCAGTGCCCCATGCACCTCCCGTCATTGGAACAAGCACGGTCCGATGGTAGGCTTCCTAAGAGTACCGGTGGGGACTGACTTTTACTGGATCAGTGACACACCTGAGCGGACACGAAAAATTCTATAATAATCCCGTGTACACAGAACTGTGTACATTTGAATATAGAATATCACTAAAGCCTTACACAGTCCTTAAAGCGCAACCGAAGCGAAGTTTGCCGAAATATCCCGAGGGCGTTTTAGTACAGTGTATACCGAGTTAGACAATGTTAATTGTGGGTGATACGTTATACGGAGCCTGAATACAAATGTGCGTCGGTGTATACAGCTACTACCGACATAGCTCTAGTGTATAGATCTATAAGTCATAGTGTCGTATGTGAAAGGCAGGGTTAGATCACTTTACTTATTTACGTGTATAATATATTAGTATTGATTAGACAAGCTGTTTATTAATTATTCCAAGTCTTCAATGATTATATGAACTGAATGTAACTTTTAACGCAAAACGAAAATGCAAATGAGCTTTCATCAAAACGTATGTCTCTTCATTTATCCTTAGGTCAATTAGTACGTATTATAATGAAGTTTCAGGTATATACTAAACGTGCGACAGGACAAACTTACATAGACGTGAAGGGAATACGCCTGGCGAATGTACATATACATACGTAGGAAACAAGTATCCATTCATTATTCACTGTAAAACCTGTGGTTATGGATTCCAATACTACGTCACAGAGTTGTCTACCATAACACACACGCATTATTTAGAAATGTTACTCAGTTCGATATAAAAAGGTGAAAATTGCCTCAAAAGGATTAAGAGCAAAATTAAACAGCAATGCGCTAGAAACTTTTTATCATTCATTCATTTTATTTTCCAAAAGTACTACAATCCATACATATACAATACATGCTTGCCAGGGCGACAGTTTGCATGTGTAAACAATTAGGTGACATGTACTTTAAATGAATGATATACTAGTTATAAAATAAGTGACATGTATTTGAATGAATGTACATCACAAAAGTTATACTAGTTAAAGAAAAATTAATAAAAATAATGTATTGAAGGAGAACGCATTGTTGTTAGTTCATACATTTAAATTTGTTTTCAGATTCTCTCTCAACATAAATAATTTGTGCAGAAACTTTCCAAATTTGCATAATTCAGATGTATTGCTAGAGTTTATAAGACTGATGAATTTAAACATGTTGGGTTTTGACCAATAATATTTTTTCATGTGAATATGTCTAAGTATCTGAAAAGATGGACATTTAAGCACAAAGTGGTATTCGTCCTCAATATCTAAATTGCATAATTTACAGATTCTTAAATTCCTTGGTACATTTATATATCTACCTTGCTCAATTTCTAACTGGTGACTGGACATTCTGCGTTTCGTAATGACTTTTCAGTACTTGAATTGGATAGGGTTCCCGAGATAAATTTTCATATCAAAACTTTGTGCACATATTAGGTGTCTATACATACAAATGTACCAGTGTTTCCGAACCAAGTTCACTAGAATCGGTTGCTTCCAACTGAACAGATTCTAGTAGATCATTTGTTCCAAAATTGGTCTAATCGCGGACTTAGAATCTAATTCCGTGGTCTAATAAAGGATTAATTTCATGTTTTTTTCGGCCTACCTTATTTCAGTCTCTTGCACACTTTTTTTTATAAACATACTGTAGATAAGACCAAGATGCCTACGTGAAGATGAATCAATAATTGAAATGACATTTGGGATGGATCTAGTTATCTTTTTCCTGGAAAATAGAGGAAAATGCTGAAAATGCATTATTTGTAAAGAAAATTATCAGGGTGGGGGGTTTCCTGAAGCCCCCAAAAAAACCTCTGGATCAGCCACTGCAGTCACTACTCTTGCTAAGATCCCCTGACAGAGCGTGAGCAGCCTGAGTGGGATGACCAACTATAATCACAGAGGGGTGCCATCTGCCAACAGCTTAATGTTAGTAGAAAAATCAGTTATATCATTAATATCAATTTAAAAAGAGCGGCCGAAATAACAAACGACATTATATTTCAGGTAACTATTCACATTATTGTGCTCCTTTTCTGTAACAGTGGATATTATATAATAATTACTATGATAAAAATATTATTAAATGTCCATGTGAAGGAGGTAAGTACACACACGAGATCTAACATTTGGGTGCCTCGGTAGCCGTGATCGCTAACGCGCACAATCATATAGTGTTAATTGTTCTGATATTAAATCTATATTTTAAATGCATGTACTATCTGTGATATTTTTCTATTGATTGAAAATCTACAGTTTTATGCATTGTGAGGAACCTCGGGGGTCCCAAACCCCGGGGCCCTATGACTGGACCAATTAATGCTTGATACATTCTAAAGAAAAAGAAAAAAAACCGCGCACAATCATTGTACTACTGTTGCCTACATGTATCGAGCGTGAGCTTCAGACCACTCGCTCTCCCAAGAATTTCGGTTCGATCCCCAGCGGTAGTGGAAAAAAGAGAGTGATGTCTGATAGGGTTAGTTGTTATCCCTCCGATGGCACGGTGGTTTTCCCCCCGTGGGTTTTCCTCCACCACGAAAACACCGTTTGTTCCTTTAGCGGCGTCGTAATAAAAGCTCTACAGAGCTTATGTTTGTTGTTAACAATTGTACACGACGTTAAGGTGGCTCCACACATCGTCATCAGCGTCCAATTTCGTGACGTACTTCCCGAAAAAGTACAGCTCGGACTCAGTTATCTTGATCAAAATGTGCATGTACACCGTGTCGTCGTTTCCGTATTGCGTATCGGGCATTNTTCATTGACATAAACAGACTCACGGGAAGACAGTGACATGAGACCAGACGACCTCGAGAAGGTCATATAGGAAACACATGGAATGCGGACGTACCAACCTCACATGTGCATATCACGTACTTACACGAGTTCATAAGCTCGAGGTCGTTACGATTTTCGCTGTTGAGGGAGTTTCGCTCTGTCGATTAAATCGTGTTTACAAATGTAGTCTACTTACTCTGTGAAAATAATGTTTTGTAAAATATCAAGATACCTATGAAATGCATGTGTGAATGCACGTGAGAACGGCATACCATGCGATAGCCTCTGGTCACATATGTACCTGACATGTAATTATAATTCTACCACGTCTGTGATGTAACGACGGTTTCCATTGGTTAAAAAGAGTGCATTATTGAGCGATATACCATGCGCGTGCCAATAAGCAATGCATGTGAATAGTGCGCACGCATGCTGTTCCAACAACCTCCCCATATTTTATCATGAATTAACAAAAATAGCATAACTCTCAGGCGGGATCAAAATATTTGACAGGCCTGCCATTTATCTACTTCTGTTTTTACTTCACTGCGTAGTGCCGTACATTTCACGATGTATGTACTGTCAAGCGTTGATTAAATGTTTTGACGAACGATTTCGATAGCGTGCCAATGTTTGATTGATTGAAATAAACATCGTATCTGACGTCACACGTGTTCAGTTGTTTCTGGTCTGCAAAACGTCGTCTGCTTTCAAAAAATAAAAGTGATGTCGAGCATTCGCCTACAGTATACATACCATGTTTGAAGAATACTGTTGCAAAAAGTAGCATCGGTCTGAACAGTGGTTGCAAAACACAGCTGTCCGGTGAAGTCGGTGAAGGTGAGGGTCGCGTCATGATCAGCCGGTCAGCGACTTTCCATCACGTCATGGCAACCAACTAAATATGCCAACTCATGTCAGGCATATCGTATGATGTTTTATCACTGGCACTTCCAAGAAAATCCGCTTGATATCGGTACGATGATGATGGTTTTAGAAGTAAACGCAATCCGGGAATCCCAACCCTACGCACTGAGAAATGTTTGCGCGACATTGATCAAGTTAAAACGAGGCAACACGTTCACGTGATAAATCTTGCACGCGCAAAATAACAGCGTCTAATTTGCATATCGAATTATCTAGGTCATGTCGCCATATAAGACAGCAAAACTTTACAATTAGTTACATTTGACGTTGTAGAATAAAAATAATCAACTTATGTGCCTGCATTATGGTGGAATATATAACTCGGGATTCGAAAATGTTGGAAAAATTATGATTATTTTTACCAACATTTTCTCACCCTCGTTATATATTCCACCATAATGCACGCACATATGTTGATTATTTCTTAAATATACCGTGAGTTAGCGGACTGTGGAATGATGTCCAAAGTGTACATGACTGAGGGTAATTTGGTTCCATTAAAGAACAATAAATTGATCATTTTGATATCATATTTTTTATTCATTTCCATTATTTTTGTTATATGTAAACAGAGACAACTGTCATTGTGTAAATGTCAGCCCCCTGCAAAAAGTTTCGATTTTTTTTCAAGGAAGATAACTCTAACCCGGATCAAAGTGATTGTAAAATGTAAAATAAATTAATTATAAAGCCATTGTGTATATTTTGTTCAATTTCCCATTCTATATGTTTAGATCTTTGTGTCCTGTTTGCTTTTAGCTTGTAGATAATCACTTTTATCCGTACAAATTTAATAAAAAAAAACACTTTGTGTAACATGTGTTACATATTTTGCGATAAATAAAATATTTGTAGGGTTAATTAGAAATGCTTCTTTTCATTTTATTATTGTTGTTATTGTTCCGAACAATGCCACACACACAAAAAACGGAAAATATTAAAATTGACGAGAATTTAATTTTTTGGTATTTTTTCCAAAAAGGTCCCCAAACTATCGGAATGTTTAGATTTTCATAAAATCAACTCTACATAGTTGCATAACCATGATATGAAAGTTTCAACGAGTTTTGCAGGTTAATTGCGAAAGTGTGGAGCCACCTTAAATAAAGATTATTATTATTACAAACAACCAGAAAAACAAGCTGCTTTCATTAGAGCCTTAATAGCCATGTGGGGGGTAAAAAAGCTTGTTTTTCTAGACGGTCGTGAGATCTTATTTTTATAATTGTTATAAATATATAGCAGACTTACTGTATTGTAAAGCTCCGTTCCAGTTAGGCTAAACTTTCTTTTCTCCTCCTGTAGTTCATGCGGCAACTTAAACTGGCGTCTGATACTCCCTAATAAAGAACTTGAACTTGATACTCCCTAATCTGACCTCAGTTGACAGACGACACCTGTAAAAAAGTATAAAGAGTTAATAAGTACACAACTGACAGAGTTCCACAGGTAAATTATACGAGGAGGTAAGGTTATTTGTTTCAAGTTTCAAGTTTTATTTTTA